GCACAAATAGTTGCTTCAGAATTTTCAAGAACTGAGATGACACATAGAGACAGCCAACTTGAAAGGGAATCTCAACATCTCATGTTTTGGATTAGCAAGGTAAGTACAATCAAGTCCAAAGGGAAAAAAGTGGACACATCTTATACAAATACATGCTCGTCATTTTTGTTCTTAAAATAAATGAATGAAAGAAAATAGGAAAAGTAAATATATGAAGACAAATAAAGAAAATTTTCCATTTGTTTTCCCTGTGTGCTAATTTTATTTTATTTTGAAGATAAAGAAACAAAATTATCAGAACTTGTAAAAAAAATCTCAACCTTGTTTTGAATTCCTACGTGTAGAGATTGATCACCTTAATTTAAAAATGTTTTGCCCTCTTTTTTTCTAATACTAGCAAAAATTTTGTTATCCTAATCCTATATTGGGAGTAAGCTCCATGTAATTTAATTTTTGGCCATCATGAGTAAAAAGCTATTTAAAAAATCAATTCTTTTTCATTTTAATACTCAGATCTTTCATCTAATTTAAGTGAATAATAATTTTCAAATTAAAAAAGTTTGTTATAAGAATATTCCGGAAGTTAACCTATATGATTATATAATTAAAGATTTTTTACATAGCAATTACCTAAATAATAATTTATTGTTTCTTGAAATTGGAGTAATAGAAAAATGGAAGAATTGCAAAAACAAAACAATAATTAGGAAAGAAAAAATAGATGAGTTTATGTGAGATGAAGTGACTTTTCAATGACAAAAAAATGTGGAAGTCAATTTTTATGGTTAGAAAAAAGCGTAAAATTTTTTTTCCAAAATCAAGATTTATTGTATAACTTAGAAATGACAAATTTATCAAAGAATAATAGATTTATTTAAAGTTTGGATTGTCTTCTTAACTCGTGTCAATTTCTCAGGCTACATTTCCTAGTCTAGAATGCCTGGGTGTGAAATGGAATGACAACATGAAGATACAGTGTGGACATCATCCAGAGGAGTATTTTGGTAAACTAAAGGTTCTGCACCTCATCGGCTTTCCTAAGCAATCTGCTTTTCTTCCTCCTTTCTTCCTCCACTCCCTGCCCAATCTCAGAAAGCTTCTTGTGAAGGATGCTTTCTTCGATGAAATATTCCGATGTGGAGAAGTTACTTGTGAGGAAAAATCTGTATGTGGACGCACTCCATTAAGAAAATTAAGATTGTCCAAACTTCATGAGTTAACACATCTTTGGAAGGAAGAATCCCAACTTGAAGTAGACATTCTCAGAAACCTAGAAACTCTAAAGGTGCAGGAATGTAGCAGACTGAAGAATTTAGTTCTCTCCTCTGTATATTTCAACAATTTGCAGACTCTAGTGGTATCTGAGTGTCATGGACTTGTCAATTTAGTGAGATACTCAACAGCGAAGAGCTTGGGGCAGCTCCGAAGAATGAAAGTAGCCGATTGTGAGATGATAGAAGAAATTGTCGTATGTTTGGGTGATGCTGTGAACGATGGCATTGTTTTCTCCGAATTGGAGTGTTTGCAACTTAAAGGTTTACCAAGACTAGAAAGCTTCTGCTCAGGGGATTGCAACTTTAAATTCCCAGCTTTGGTAGAGGTAATTGTTACAGAGTGTCCAAATATGCAGATTTTCTCAAAGGGAAAACTAAGCACACCAAGGCTACAAGAAGTGAAATTG